CTGTCTCCTGCTGCTGCCTGGCTCCTCCTCTCTGAGGCCCACAGCTCGTCTAGGAGCCAAAGTGTAACACCACTGGAATTCTCTCGTTCCTGCAGTGGGAAGGGGGAGGAGCCCTGGGCAAGACCCCTGAGGCTTGCAGGATGCCTGATGTGTGTTTTCTGGACAGAGGGCCCTTCTGTTTCTTCTCTAGCCAAGACGCCTTGGCTAAGGGGTTCTGAGTGATAGGTCAAGGTGACTCAGCGGTCAGGCAGTGCCGGGTACCAGCCCTTCCCTGTCCCTGTATGCGCTGTCTCTCTTATCCTGGCCTCACAAGGACCCTCCCAGGCTGTCAGCTCAGCTTGCATCTCCTTCCCTCCTCTTCTGATTCCCTTGTTTCTTGGTTTCTGATCAATGTGGGCAATGCACATTTGTACCAGCCCTTGGGTCACTCCCAGGGACTTGTCAATATTGGGGTGTTTCATTCCACCATACTCAGTCTCCTAAGAACTACACCAGAAGGCAGAACTATCTTCATTCCTAGATGAGGAGTCTACCCCCTAACCCTTTTCAGTGAACCATCAAGATACATCTTGATCCAAGGGGCAACCCCCGTTCCTTCTGAAGAGTTAGGTAATATGGGTGGTGGGTATGTACTACCAGGGATATATGGGGTGTGCACAATGGTAAACCACCACTTCAAGAGAAAATCCTCTGCTCTGTGTAACCCAGCTGCTGTCTCTGAGTCTCAGAGATGACCTTGACTCTGAGGAGCCCAAGAGGATGGAGGGGGCAGTGAGGACCTGAGATCAGTAGGGATTCCTGGGCCGGAAGTCAACAGACCAGAGTTCTGGTCCCATGTGGTAGGCAGAATAGTGGTCCCCCAAAGATACCAGTTCCCTAACCCTGTGAATGTTACCTTACATGGCAAAAGGGACTTTGCATATATAGTAAAGGATTGTGAGATGGGAAAAGATGCCTGGATTATCCAGGTGGGCCCAGTATAATCACAAGTGTCTTTATAAGGGGGATGTAGGAGGGTCAGAGACAGAGGAGATACGATGAAGGAAGCAGAGGTTGAAGGGTTGTGGTTGCTGGCTGGAGTCACAAGCCAAAAAAATGTAAGTGGCCTCTACAAGTTGGAAAAGGCAAGGAAATAGGTTCTCCCCTAGAGCTTCTGGAAGGAATGCAGTCTTGCCAACACCTTGATTCTAGTCCAGTGGAACTCATTTTGGACTTCTGACCTCTAGAACTGTGAGGTAATACATTTGAGTTGTTTTAAGTCACTAAGGATGTCATAACTTGTTACAGCAGAACAGGAAATGGATATATCTTACATCTGCCATTAATGAGCTACTTCATTCTTGGGAAGGTCATTCCTTGGTCTCAGATACTGTACCTTAGGGACAATGGTTTTCAAACATGTAATAGAAAATTTAAAGGAGTGGGATACTTTTAGCGATTGAAATCCTATGTGGAAGGCCAATGTAAATTAGATGTGGGTGGAGCTTCTTGGTGAAGCTGGGGACCCACTGGGTAGTGCAGGTTGGTGTGGCGCTGGGTTTGGGTGTCAGGCTGTCTAGTGCTATCAACTTTTTGTTGTGGGGAGTGTGGGCATTCTGTATACGGGACTGGCTGCCAACTTCTGACACATGCACACCAAAAAAACTCAATGGAATTGAGTAGAATTTAAACTTATTGTTGATATTAGTGAGGCTTTACACATATATTTTATTTTGGGTGTTGTACACAACTCTGAGGAATAGAGTTCATCTTCAAGGCATTTCCAATTCTTCCAAGGACCTCATTTTAAATCCCTGCCCCTCCGGGAACTTAAGCAGGGAGATGGTGGCCATCCCTCTTGTATACATAGCCATTAATGCAACAAATCTAGAAAGAAGCACACTAGTATTTCATTGTTACTGAAATGAACTTCTGCAGGAAGTGTCCTTGGGGAAGGTCCTCTTTCCCCGGCGTTTCCTTTTGACTTGCTTCTGTTGCTCTTGAAGGCTAGCCAGGGTCTCGTGCACCTCTCTGTGGCTCTTAGTTCCAGATGCCTCACGTTGGGGACATCTAGGACATCGTGCTCAAGCAGTGGAAGAGATAAGCAAGGAGAAAAGCAGAGACGTTTTCTTATCATTACTAAAATTCTCTGGGAGGGCACCAAGGGCCATATAAACACAGCCTGACTGTGAAATCAAAGCATCATTTAAACAACAAACAAATGCGAGCTCGATGGGCTAGGATTACTACTCCCTTATTAAAAATCAACTTTAGGACTTGAGAAAACAAACACAAAACTGGAGGAGGGTAACTGAATGTGAGAACTTGATTGTGCTCTACAGGAAAATTTTCTACTTGGTCACTTTTGAAGAAATACATAGAGCAAGATGAAAGGGGATATATATATATATAATATATATATATATTTTCTTAGTGTTGATATAATGCCTATTAATCAGCAGAAGAACTTGTTAAAATTGGAAATGCCTGCTCTCCTCCAAACACAGAGATTCTGCATCAGTAGGGTCTGGTGTGACACATTCCTGCTGAATCTAAATGGATGATCCAGGAGGAGATTTTGACAATCACCAACGACTGTAGCTGAGCTACCAATGTACAGACAGGAGGTGGTCCACAGATTTAAGTCCACTCTTGCAAACTCATTAACAAGGACCCCCACGCATACTTCTTATTTCCCTGCACTGCTTTTCCTCTAAAATATTTTATTAGGTGACTGCATAGTAGTTCTCGGATAAAAGCAAAAGTACCTGTTGTTGTCAGTGCTGTGCAGTGTTATGTTTTGTGATGGTAGCTCTAAACAATATTGCAGTCCAATCCAATCATTGGATTATTTTCTCTGAAGTTAGTAAGCTTCCTGTTCTCTCTGCTCATCTAAAATTCCGTGAAAAGTCAAAGGTTTACACATCCCCTCTGACTCCAGAAGATGTGATGTTTGAGAAATTGAGGAGAACAGCTGAATTTATTCACTACTCTTTTGAATATTATGGGGCATTTCCTTTCATAGGTCAGCTCAGCCTCCCAGCCCCAGCCCTTTACCTTCTTCAGACCTCAGTGCATCAGGGCAAGCCTGCCATCTCCCAGAGCAGCCAGCTGAGACTCTCTCAGCTGCCCTGGACACCGGCAGGACTGAGGCAGGCCTCTCACATCCTGGAAAAAAGTGCGGTCACTGCAGGGAAAGCAGACCAGCTCACCCACGCTGCCTGCATCCCTCCACACTCTCCTGTCTGGTGTCTCTTTTTTCCTCTGCCCCCATCCTCACTCTGGTTCCTTGCATGATTAGTCTTAATAGGGGAGGAAAAATAATTTCCCCCTACCTTCTGTGTTTGTGGCTGAGAACTCTGTAATAAAAGAAAGATTAACAAGAGATAAACAGGTTTATTAACATGTAGACCTCAGGTATACATGGGAGACATGGGGGGAAAGATTAGTATCTCTCTGAGGTGACTTAGAACTCAGGCCCAGATACCATCTGAATGGGGAAAGGGGAGGGGGCCTCTTAGGGATGAGGAAGTGATTATTGGGAAGGATGAGGGGTCTAGAAGAACAGATGGGAGTGTAACAGTTTGTGACTAAGTCTGGGTGTGGCTTTGACTTCTAGTGCCCCTGCAGTGATGAGAGCCACTCTTCCCTATGGGTGGAACTCCCAGGGAGGGGCTCTAGGACATTGACTTCCTGTTGGGGGAGCAGGTAAGGGGAGCTCAGAGAAAGCCTCTCAAGTGCCTATGGCTTAAAATAATCAATAGAGCAAAACGGCAGACTTGGGGTGGGATGTCCTGAACTCCTGTTCATATTTTGGGTGGTGTACTCTGCTACCCTTCAGTCTCCCTCTCCAAGCCTTGTGCTGGTCCCTGCAGGGGGAGCACTGTGCACTTCTATTCCCACCAAGGCCCTGCAGTATCTGCAAAGACAGCCTGGCAATACACTGTCCCCACACACTGTCCCCTCCTGCCTCCACATCCACCCCACTTCCCACTCACACCGGGATCTTATGATCGCCTGCACCTTCTCCACCCGAGAAATTCAAACCAACCACACCCTGCTCTGTGGTCCTGTGGTTTCATCATGCTGGCTCTCAGGCCTGATGTGGTTGGTCTTTGACCTCACAGAAGATGCCAGTGTCCAGAATGTTCCGATTTCTTGAAACACGTTAGCTCCTACCTGGACTTTCTGCTTTTCATGCTCAGCCCGAACCCCTGATTGATCATTGCAGTGACTGCCTTGGCAGAGCCTCAGTGGCCTTGCGCCTGTCCTGCGGAGCACCGCCCCCCGCAAAGCCCAGCCCTGAGCTCAGCGGCAGCCCGCTTTCACTCCTAGTGGCTGAGAGTGCTGGAGAAAGATTTGTGAATTCTGTCCATACACTCTAACACTTAATTACACACCCAGTCGTGCAAGGCATGGGAATATACAGACATAATACAAATCCTTGCCACAAACAGATGCAATTATTACTGGAGGAAGTTTTTGAATTTTCGTCAAGGGGAATCCTTAGCTCCCTGTTTCTTTATTCTCTTTCTTGTGTGGTTAAGAATTCTTTCTCATTGGCCTCGATTCCTTTTGCAATCCTCTGGCCGACTGCGAAGAGCTCTCCCTGCAAAGAGAGAAGCTGCTGATAAAAAGCCTTCTTCCCCTTCCAGGGAGCTCATTCATTCCTTCTTTCTTTTGCTCATTCATTTGTTCATTCCACAAATAATCGTTGGGTGCCTACTTCGTGCCAGGCGTGTCCTCATGAGGAAGGATACAGACATGAACGAGACAGGCAAGGTCCCTGCCCTCGTGCAGCTTATATTAGAGTGTGAGAAAATGCGCAAGGAAGAGAGGGAGGGGAAAGGAAAGAAAGAAAATCTGAGTTGCAGGTGCTGAGAATCAGAGTAAGATGGTAGACGGCTGGGGGAGGGCGGTCTCACGTTAAACATCAGAGTGTCGAGAAACCGCTAAGCCGACAGCAGTAGGAGGGGCACTTAGGCACGAGGGGCTGTGTGCTCAGGGAATGTGAACTTCAGGTCGGACCGAACCAAATACAGTTAGCACAGCCATTGTGTGCACCCACTAAATACACTTTCAAAAAAACCTGAATTCTCTTAAAATGGATTATTCCGAATCAGAGTCCCCTGTGGAGCAATACAGCCTTGCAGCAAACGCCCAGACCACTGAGACGTGTTAACGGCCGAGTAATATAGTCACTTGTGGAGAATTTCTTGCCTAGGCAGGAGTCCTTCTACCTCTTCTTGTTCTCAGAGTAGGAAAGAAGAAGAAAGAAGCAAACCAAACCAATCAGACCCAAACCGAGAGGCCAAACCCAACCCCACAGCATCTCGCCCCGGCTGAAACAGAAATAACTCCCATTACTCACCCACCCCAGCAATGGGAGAAGAGATTGCCGTCAGGTATCCTGCCATTATATTCTGTGTTCATTGGAGCGAAAGGGCAGAGAAGAGGTGAGGTTTTGAAAAGAATGCCCAGAGAACTACACCTTTCCTCCTTGATTGTTGAGAACAGCCTTGCAATTAAATACTAAAAATATACCGGCTGTAAATTGTTTGACCAGCCCACCTGCTATGCCCTCAGTTGTCACCCCCAAATGGAAGCCTCTCTGCCCTCGTGTGACTATATGGGGGGTGGTTTCCAGGGTCTTTTGGGAGGGGCTGGAGGTTAAATACGTTCATAAGGGTGAAACTCTCTGATCTAGGGGAACGGGTGCCCTCCCAGGAAGAGGAAGAGAACCAGGGATCTCTGTGTCCTGACAGGGGCGTGGTGTTCCGTGACCGAAGTCGGGGCCCTGCTCCCATCACTTACCGGCTGGGAGACTTGGGGACCATCGCGTGGTACCCTCATCTGGATACTGAGATGGATGAAGGCGTCACAAGAAGGGGGGAAGTCTTTTTGGTTGGGGTACTTTGCGTCTCAGGGTGGAGTGTCCTGGAAGAGTAATGTACTGTCTGCAATCTTCACAGCACACTGAGGTCGGCCAACTCTATTATTATTTAAACAACAACAACACGTAATCTATTTATGAACTTCTTCCTCTCCACTGCCTGGCCTGATCTAACATCTAACTAAGTTTACCACATAACCTGCTAAATAAGTTACATTTATTCTCAGGACCAAGAAGCAAATACGATTTTTCCATTCACAGTAACCTAGCGAGTCAGGCCGCGAGATTTCTGTCCAGAGGTGGGCCACCATCGCCCTCTGCTGGAGAAGTTTGTAACTGCTGCTTTGCAAGGAGAACAAGAAATAATTGATACCAGTCATTCTAATTGAGCGAGCGTCTGGGGCCACTGAGCTTTTATTGAGCTTGTGATTGCCCAAAAGAGTGGGGCTTATATTGGTTTATGGGATCAATTCCTTTCTTATGTAGTACCCCCAAAATTTAGATGTTATTTGATAATGATTAAATATTCCTCATCCCTCCGTATAAGCACAGAGTTAATTCATCAAACAGTATCAGAGCTTAATGGTACAAACAACAGAAGCAGATCCTAGGGTGCTCCTTTTAAGCTTTTGATTACTTAAAAATTATAGAAAATTTGGGACGCCTGGGTGGCTCAGTCGGTTAAGCGTCTGCCTTTGGCTCAGGTCATGATCCCAGGGTCCTGGGATCGAGTCCCGCATCGGGCTCCCTGCTCCACGGGGAGCCTGCTTCTCCCTCTGCCTCTGTCTCTCTCTCTGTCTCTCATGAATAAATAAATAAAATCTTTAAAAAAAAATTATAGAAAATTTGGTAAAAGTATACAAAATGTAGAAAAGTAAAAGGAAGAAGAAAAATGTTGGCAGTCCCACTTCCAGGAAAAAAAAATTACATTTTGGAATATTTTCTTCCAGTTCTTTTTCTAGGAACATAATGACCTTTTAAAAACTTGTTTTTACTGTTTGTAGACCGGGTGGAACTCATCCCATCAGTTGAGGGCTTGAATGGACCAAAAAGCTGGAGGAAGGCAAGATTCCCACACTCCCTGCCTGACTGCCTGACCTGGGACATCAGTCTTCTCCTGCCCTTAGAGCTCCTGGGTCTTGGGCTTTCAGACGTGGTTCTCTGCCTTTGAACTACACCACTAGCTCTAGCTCTGTGGGTCTTCGGTTTGCCCACTGCGGATGGTGGGATTGCTCAGACTCCATAACTGCATGAGCCAATTCCTCATAATTAATCTCTTTCTAGAGTTCTCTGTCCAACTGGCCTATCGGTTCTGGTTCTCAAAGAACCCTAATACAGCTGCATATCATTTTATTTTTTAATAAAATTTTATCTATTTGAGAGAGAGAGAGAGAATGAGCTAGAGTGCAAGAGTAGGGGGAGGGAGAAGCAGACTCTCCACTGAGCAAGGAGCCTGACGTGGGGTTTGATCCAGGACCCTGAGATCATGACCCGTGCAGAAGGCAGACGCTTAACCAACTGAGCCACCCAGGTGCCCCTGCATATCACTTAAAAAAAACCTTTTTATTTGAAATAATTCTAGATTTACCGAAGAGTTTAAAGCATAGGGCAGAACTCCTGTATCTTCTTCCGGCATCTACTGTTACCATCTTAGACCACCGTGTTCACCACAACTGGGAAATTAACAATGGTATGTGCTATTACCCAAACTCACTGTTACCCTGGCTCACAGTTCTTCATAAAGCTTTTTCTTGGGCGCCTGGATGGCTCAGTCAGTTAAGCGTCTGCCTTTGGCTCAGGTCATGATTCCAGGGTCCTGGGATCGAGCCCCACGTCTGGCTCCCTGCTCAGCAGGGAGTCTGCTTTTCCCTCTCCCTCTGCCCTTCCACCTCACTCGTGCTCTCTCTCTCTCAAGATAAATAAATAAAATCTTAAAAAAAAAAAAGAAAGCCGAGTATGGGGTAGGGTATTACACTCTCTCTCAACTTTTCCTTGTGTTTGAAATTGTCCATAATTAAAAACCTTTTTAAAAAATGTGCCCTTCCAGGTTAGACTTGTGCATCTGGGGGCAGGGAAGGTGGAGGGGGCGTGTGTGGAGGTTGACATGGTTGCTGATCAACGATGGGAACATCAGACGCCTCTGCATGCTTTCCTGTACCATCGTCACGTCAAGACAGTGCATCTCAGGGGCGACATAAACTGTCCTGAAGGAAACGGGGCGCCCTCTTTCAACACCCGCGAGTTCCAGACTTTTCCAAGGCAGCCTTGTCCTTTGTGGTGAGAATTGGTCACCTCTCGGAAGCAAGTCCTAGTGGATTATTTCACCAACAAGTTCTCCATAATTTATTTTAAAAAGAAACAGAATCAAACCTGAAATATGTCCTTAAAGGAATGGATGGAGAAGCATGGTGCCAGAGAAGGAGGCATTCGTTAATGGCTGGCCATCTGCCTAAACTCTCTGCGCGCCCTGGGGCAGCTGTGGGCGCAGGCGAGTGTTTCGGTGGGATCCGCTGGGCTCTCCGCTGCCGCAAAGACGGATGGATGCTAAGTGGAACCTTTTCTCCTCCCAGTGACCAGGCATGATACTGAGAAAAATAATGGTCAGAAAGAACATCACTAGGCCCCTAATGAGAAGCTGTTGACAGAAAAATCGCTCTCACATTCATCAAAAAAGCCAATAAATGTCAAGGAAGGGACTGGAAATGTAGCAGCTGGTACATTCTTTCTCAAGGGGCCTCTGGAGGGGACTTTTGGGACAAGACACCTGCTCTGCCTTTTTCCTGAACTTTGCTAAATAAACCTCCAGTTCTGCTTAGGACATTTTTTTTTTTTTGGTCAACCTTTTTTATTTTTTTAAACATTTTTAAAGATTCTTATTTATTTATTTGAGAGCGAGCAAGAGATAGAGCATAAGCAGTGGGGAGGGGCAGAGGGAGAGGGAGAAGCAGGCTTCCCGACAAGCAGGGAGCCTGATGCGGGGCTCGGTCCCAGGACCTGGGATCATGACCTGAGCCGAAGGCAGACGCTTAAATGACTGAGCCACCCAGGCGCCCAAGCTTAGGACATTTATGGGGGCTCCCCCTGATAGCTTTGAGGGCATGTCCGCAGGGTGGCCACTCTGGCGTTTGGCCAGAGCATCCTGTTTGGGGTACGACCACTGGCTAGGTCGGGATCTTTTCAGCCCTTGAAACCTCGTCTGTGTGATGTCACAGTTTGTAAGCTAACTGAGAGCTGAGATCTCTTCGGGCTTTAGGTAGATGATCCTATTTGCTCAGCAGGGAGTCAAAATGGATTTTTCCTCTTGAATCCTCTAATACTGTATTGCCTCTGGTGTTCATGTAGTAGACCCCATTGCTTCATTGTAACCTGTCTTCTGGTGCTAAATCTTGTTTTCACTTTTTTGTTAGGGGAGGGGGTGCTCACTAAGAGAGGCTAATGTGAATATGTCCCTGGACTTGAGTTTGGTGTTCCCCCAGAGGCAGACCCCGAATCAAGGACTTGTGTGAAGGTTGTTTATTTGGAAAGTGATCCCAAGTGAAGGTGTGGGGCGGGAAGGCAGGGAGGGAGAAAAACTGATAAAGTTTGCATCAGTGAACGGGTCGGTGCTGTGAGGGTTGGGGCTCAACCCTTCTGGGCCCTTCTGAGAAAAGATAGCACCCCATCTCAGCATTGTTCCGTCTGACGACCAGGGGCTGGGACGTTCTTCCATGGTCTCCCATCCTGCTGCTGTTTGAGGGGTGTCCCTGGAGGCCTTAACTCCCCCCACTTCCAGATTGGCCTGTTGAAGGCTGAACAAGCTCCTGGACGTGCCAAAAATCACTCCCAGAGAGGCAGAGAGATGGAAGTGCTTGAGGGGGTGTCTTAGCCAGCTCAAGCTGCTATAACAAAATACCCCAGACTGGGGGCGCCTAAAAAGAGAAATTGATTTTTGTACAGTTCTGGAGGCTGGAAGTCCGAAGTCAGGGTGTTGGCAGGGTTGGTCTCTCCTGAGGTCTCTCTCCGTGGCTTGCGGACGGCTGCCTTCCTGCTGTGTCCCCGCGTGGTACGTCCTCTGCGTGTGCACAGTGCTGATGTCTCCCTCTCCTCCCATAAGGACACTAGTCCTATTGGATTAGGGTCCCATCCTTAGGACCGCCTTTAACCTTACTATCTCTTCAGAGGCCCTTTCTCCAAATGCAGTCACGCTGGGGAATAGGGCTTTAGCATGTGGATTTTGTGGGAACAGAATTCAGTCCATAACAGGGGGAAGCTAATTCCTATGGAAACTGCCCACCACAGCTGCGGGTGAAATGGGAGATGGGTCATCAACAATATTGCCACACATATATTAATGTAATCCTCCTAACCACTTGGCAGGTATGTGTTGTTATCACCCCTCTTTTTTTTTTTTAATTTTTAATTTTTTTTTTATTAAGATTTTTTATTTATTTGCGAGAGAGAGAATGAGAGACAGATAGCCTGAGAGGGAGGAGGGTCAGAGGGAGAAGCAGACTCCCTGCTGAGCAGGGAGCCCGATGCGGGACTCGATCCCAGGACTCCAGGATCATGACCTGAGCTGAAGGCAGTTAAGCTGAAGCTTAACCAACTGAGCCACCCAGGCGCCCTATCACCCCTCTTATAACCACAAAGAAACTCAGACTCCAAGAAGTTAAACAACTAGCCCCACATCACACACCTAGTGATAAGGGTAAGCCCAGAGGTAACTCAGCTCTCTGACTCTTGGCCCATGGTAACTATTTTTGTATTTGAATTTTAATGCGTTCATGATTTATCTCAGTTCCTAGAGGGTCAGAATTGTCTTACACTTAAAACAAAAACAAAAACAAAACAAAACGAACCATCCCATAGTGCTTAGCGTAGGACTTTGTAATTAAGTAGACACTTCATAAATACAGGCATTGAGGTTTTAAAAATCACCTCTTGGCTGTTTCTTCTGGAGATAGATCCGGAGGGGTAAAATCTATGCAACTAAAAGGAAGTTAAACGTGTTTTCATGGGAACATAGTAACTTTCGAGGGACAGGTCATCCTGGGGTCCCAACAGGAGGAGGGGTATGATGGTCCTTGTAGGGTAGGGGCTGGGGGAGGGGCACAACTAACCAGCCTGGCAACTGTCCATCCCTCCTTAGGGATGGGGAGGGCTTGCTGATCTAGGAACTAAGGGACCTTGAGGAAACTTCATTGGTAAAAAACTGGACAGACTGACTGCTGTCCTAAAGGATAATTATCGAATGATCAGAGTAATAACTTTGATGACAGTAACAAATGAGACGATTTTGGCTTAAGGTTCAAATAAGCATATTAACCATTTTGGTAGATTCCATCAAGTGCAAATCTATTAGATATCTTCACCCCTTGCCAACCAACCCTGTATTTGATACGTCTCTCTGGGTGAAGAATGTTTTTCACCAGAAATGTTAGCATTTGGAGACCAAAACATGCTTCAGCCATGCCTTTAGAGAAAGAAAATGGGCTTTACAGAACCCCTGGGACTGATTTCATCTTAGTGGAGCAACGTGACTCCTGAGTATCGACCTACATTTACAAAGAGATGCTTACCAACTTCCCTGGATCTACAAAGAAAACAGTGAATTAATTCATGTTCTGCTCAGCGATTTCACTTTCCACAACAGAAAATGTGAACTGAGAATTTTAAAAAGCCCGTCCGTATCATATAGGTTGTACCCTGGCAATGTTTAACTGGACCTAGCCAACCTTACTGAAGGCCCACTCTGTGCTGAGCAGGGTCTAGTCTCCAAGGATTGAAAAGCTGAGGAAGGACTGACCGATCCTGCAGGAACGCACAACTTTGTTGGGGGCAGGGAGGGCAAGACACTAGACTATGCATGAAAAGGAAATAATTGAAGGTGCTCCCTGCACAATAGAAGTATATACAACGTGAGGCAACGTAGCAGTCACCTAATAGCGAGAAAGGGAAGAGGATCGCGGGGCGCAAGGATCACAAACCCATGCCCCCAGAACTAGAGCCGCTGGGTTCCCCTGGGGCACCTGGGTGGCTCAGTCAGTTAAGTGTCCGACTCTTGATTTTGGCTCAGGTCGTGTCTCAGGGACGTGAGACCGAGCCCTGAGACGGGCTTCGTGCTCAGCAGGGAGTCTGCTTGGGATTCTCTCTCTCCCTCTGCCCCTCGCCCAGCCCCGCTTGCATGCTTGCTCGCTCTCTCAAATAAATAAATAAATGTAAAAACAAAAAACAAAAAACCCCAAACCACTTCCCCTCCACAGGACACATGATACAGAGAGGTCTTTGAAATTCTCGACCACATTTCCTTTATCAGTTTTAGAAAGTGAAATCACTAACCAAAGCCTGCCCCTTCCTAGCTGTGTGATACTGAGCAAGTCACTTAATAACTCTGTATTTTGGTTTCTCGTCTGTATAATGGCATTGGCCTACTTCATAGAGATTTTGTGAGGATTAGTGTATTAATATCTACAAAACGCTTAAAACAGTGCCTGGTGCAGAGTGATCACTACATAAATGTGAGTGGGGTTGGGCTCTAAATCACATTCCCCTCTGACTGATGCATTCTTTTTTCTTTTCCTTAATTCCTAGAAATTTCTAAAACTGGTAATTATCACCTCTTTTGGTAAGGTAAATATTGAAAATATACGACATAAAAAAAAGAAAGATTTCTTAAATGTGTAAAAAAAGATATATATATGTGCAAGTTGGTTTTAGATAACGTCTGTGCTTAAACAGTCCTGGTCAGGACAGGAAGATCCAAGGGAAGTATTGTTCTGAAATCACTAAGGATGTCAGAAGACTGCCACACCGGGCGAATAAACCTCATAAGGCTGGATGTGCCAACTCACCCCTGCCCCTGCCCCTCCCCTCCCCCCCCACCCCCCTGCTCCCTGTGGAACCGGTTCCTCCCCTACACCCAGGAGCCTGAGGGGGCCAGGCCATCTCATCCAAGAGACCCTGCCTGCCAGCTTTCATGGGCCTCTCTCTGGGACCTGAAAAAATAAACTTTGGGCTCCACAATATAAAAGAAAAACCCTTGCAAGACTGAAATTTAGTATTTTATTAACTGTAACATGTCAAGTTCAAGGATGTTGAATTTAACTCCCGAATACCCGCTGATTGCCAAGAAATCGTAATCGTTAATCAAATGTTTAAAAATAATTCAGAAAGCAAATCATGGGGCTCCTTTCCCTAAATAGAAGAAAGACATTCAGTGTGGAATACAGGTGTATTCTGATGTTTAGTGTGATATGGGGTGGGGCTTGCAGAGACACGAGCACCTGGGGCCTTTAAAGCCCCTAAAATCTGCCCGAGTGGAGGTTTCCAGAGGCTCCTGGAAGAGCTCAAGCCTCTTCACGTTCCTCTCCGAGCCAGTGGTGACTGCCCACAACTTCATCGTAAAAGCCGCAGGGCTCAACTGTTAAAATACGGACGCAGCTGAAGAGAGATGGGTCGCTTCCAGCGGAATGCAGCAGTTCACACATTTTCGTGCTCAGCAGAATTACTGGGAGACCTTTTTTTTTTAATGCATATTTTTAGGCCTTGGAAGTCTGAATTTGTGATTCAGTAGGTCTGGTGAGGAGCCCAGGAATCTGCCTGTGAAGATCCAGGTCACCCAGGGGCCACACTTTGGAAACGCTACTCTTAGTGCAGTGGGTTTTCAGAGGGAGAGGAAAGGTGGTGGCGGGGGTGGGGAAGGGGGGTGGTTTGCTGGCTGAATAATGGACGTGGACAAAATGAAGGGTAACTGCCAGTTTGGAGAGAGATGTGCCCCAGTGGAGGACATCTTCAAAAGGTGCAGGTGTGGGCCCGAGGCTCTGAGCACCTGTGATGGATTTCTCGTTCTCGAATGCGCTCAGGTGTTGCCAATGTTTACTGCTTCTGGGGGTAAAGCGCCCTTCTCTGTTTGTAGAAGAGCATTTCCTTGAGCAAAAGCTACCTGTTTCAAGTTCCGTGGCAAGTTCCCAAATCCCAGTATTGTAGAGCCCAGAACGTCACAACGAGGAGGACGAGAGTCCAATGGCGTCACGCTTATGGACAGGACAACTGCACTCATGACCTGCTCGCGGCCATGCTGCAGACCTGGGACCGGAACGCCGCGTTCTCCATGCTCAAGTCCTGCTTTTCCCGAATCTCCTTCGGTAAGCAAAACTGTGTGGCCTTGGCTGTGGCATTTCTGATTGGTTTCCTTTGAGCACATCCATAGTCTCTGTGGGGTTGGAACAGCGATCTTTTCAGCATGTTGGCGGGAACATGGCGCGGTGGTCAGGACCCTGCAGATCCGAACCCACATCCTGGCTTGACCGCGGCAAATGCCGTCACTTCTCTGAGTCTCCTACACACCAGGGGGGTAGTAAGAGCCACTTCAGGAACTCGGCTCCTTAAATCAGCCCTGGTTCCTGAATGGCAACTACCCCCAAATTCACTGGTGTGAAGTTAGTCGGGGAGCTGGTACCCCTCCATTTGCTGGTATTCTGCAGGGCTCAAGCCAGGCTTGGGGAACTCTCTCTCATAGGGCGTGGGGACCTGGTTCCCTGACTTCCTGGCGCCTGCCGGGCTGAGCTCAGCAGAGCTCCCTGAGAAGTAAATGGTACAGATGGAAAGACGAGAATATACCAGGCTTTCCAAAAGCAATCATCATGTGTGGTTATCAGAAAAATTTCATTCCATGTCCCAGCGGAGGGAAGCACAGATACAAATTAATCCCAAATTTATATTTGCCTGGGGATGAATCCTATGACATCAGAGGATGGGTAGCAGATTTTCCTTCTGGATTATTTGCTCCACAGGCGAGGATCAAGATTTACAGCTAGTCCCTGAGTGTGCATCCCCAGCTCACGGGCTGGAAAGCCAGCCCAGGGCCCCGAGGACTTCATGGTTTCAGGGGATAGTGCATGCTCATACAGAAACTGGAAAGTTGCCTTTTGATTTTCCTTTGCCAAATGTGTGTGTGAGAGGGCTTTGTCACTTTCTCCAAAACCCAAGGGCCTTTGTGACATCCTCTCCTCACTATCAAGGCCACCTGGGCAGGAAGGTACAGCAGGGGTCCCACGGTCAGCACTGTTTCTGAGCGGATGATGACAGCCCCCATTCCCATCTAGCCCCCTCGTCCTCCCCAATCTAGTCTAGGTCTGCAGCCAGCTCATTATTGGCTTTGTAGTAAAAACTCCGACCGTGCTCTGCCGGCAATCAAATCCGATGTCCCCTGTGCACTGGCAGAGTTCTGCAGCAAGGAGTATGGGGTCCGTTCCTTCATTCTGGAAAGCTGCATGGAGCAGGGGATTCATGTCTTCGGAGCTGGCCTCACGCCAGCCCTGGCTCTCGCCATGAGGCTGCGTGGCCAGGGGAAGGCGCACCCATGGCTTTTTCAGGCAGGGTTTGGAACTCTCACTCTACCCAGGGGCAGCTGTTGGACCTAGCACAGAGTGGGTCTCAACGACTCACCTGTAGGATGCAGATTACCCTAGCACCTGCTCCACGGGGTCTGCGGAGGATGAAACGAGAATATACAGAGGGTACCTGCCACGTCCCAGGTGTCCAGCAAACGGCAGCCCTGATGACCTCTGGGCACGAGGAGCATCTTAGTAACAAGTTCCTCCTTTCCAAGAAAACACTTTTTTTTTTTAACCTTTCTAAACTCAGGCAAAGCAAAAAATTGTCAATCTCAATAGAAACCTGTGGAAACACTGGGGACATCCATTGCAATGCGTGCGAGCCCCAGGGTAGAGCCCCATGCTTCTCCATCTCAGCCTTGGTACTGACCACATTTATGGCCACATTCTACTCCAAGGGAAGAAAAACTGACTTAAAAGAAAATAATAAGCCCTATGTGAAAGCTTGAGGACAAGAGATTTGGGACATGTCGGGCCAGGTTGGATCCGGAGCCAGAGAGGAACAGGTTCAGGTCCTGATGCATGTGCTCGCTCAGCTGGGGAGCTCAGATGCCTGGTGCTGGTTTGTACCGCCCCCCTGAGGCTGAGCAGAACAGGTGGTGTGTAGTGGGTAGAACATGTGTCCTGTGTCCCTCCCACCTCTCTCCCTGATGTTTTCATTCTCGGGTTTAGCCCAGGGTCCTGGTGTCGGGATCTTGGATGGCCAGGACATTCATTACAGAACCATCAGGCACCTGGTGTGCACCCCTGAGTACGGGCTTACAGAGAAAAGAGGTCATTGGTTTTCTTTTCTTTTCTTGGACAGCTTGCAGCCTGGCTGGGGAAAGATAAAATTACTAGTCCCTCTCAATATTTAATCTTTCTAAATCATAGAAGATTAGTCCAAAAGCCATTTCTGTTGAGAAGCAGAATCGAGGAGATTTTCAGTGTGGAGAAACACCTCGTGGAGATTCGAAATGTGTGGCCGCTCGTGGGCAGCCAGAACTACCTCCACCTCAGGGCACATTTCTGGAGGCAGAGCTTGGTTGGCATCCTCCTGTATCCTCACCTTCTCCCATGTCAGGCGGTCCCCCACTTATGGTCCTTGAAGGAGCATCTCAAGGACCAGGCTCCCCCCGCCCCCGCACTCCCCAGCCAGCGCCACAGGCTGGCTGGCCTTCCACTTGGACTCCCCACCTGCCTTCCCCAGGGGGTCATGGCCTTTCCTACAGACCACGCACACTGAAGCCATGGCTACTGCCACACGGAAGGCTGCCTTCGCAGAGTCATGAGGCAGCAGTGGTGTTGGGGCGTCAGAAGGGGGGTGGGGGCCCCCTCTTCCTGCACGCCTCTGGTGAGACCACTCACTGCGACCAGATGGGTTTTCGCTTCTGGATGAAGGCCTTGATTCCCTCCTGCCCGTCCTTCAGGGCCACGTTGTCCACCATGGTCTGGGAGGTGAGGTGGTAGGCCGTTCGAAGGTCCTGGGGCAGCTGCCTGTAGAAGGTGGCCTTGCCCAGAGCCACCACGGGACGGCTCAAGGAGGCAATCTTGCCTGCGATCCTCATGGTCTCCTCCTCCAGTCGCTCCGCTGGCACGACTTTGCTGAGCAGCCCGTGCCGCAAGGCCTCCTGGGCGGATATGGGCTCCCCGGTGAAAAGCATTTGTAAGGCAACCTGCGGGAGGAAACCTGGGTCACTAAGGCCCGCTCCCCATGACCCCCTGCTAGCCAAGCCCCACCCTCTCCCCTCCAGTCCGCTGACTTCCCGACAATCTCAGCCCAGTCACCTGCTTCCTCAAATAACCTGTCATCCGTCAGGCCCGACGTCTGCGACACCCAGACTCCTGCCAGGCACAGGGTTGGAGCTCTCCGAGAGCAAGGAGCATGCAAGTGCCCGGGGAAGGGTCCCTTGCTCCTTCCCCAGGGCTGATCTCCCGGCACCCCCCGCCCCCAAGGCCAGGAGCTCCCCTCTGCCTCTTACGAGGGCCGGGCACGGGGCGTGGCCACATCTGATGGGAGGGAACCGACGCCGAACCCCCCCCCCCCCCCCCCCCCCCGCAAACCCGAGGAGGAAGGATTGAAAGGAAATGCCCTCCAGGGACCAGTCGCAGCATCAGGGCACGATGTAACTTACACAAGGGGCCGCCTCCGTGCGTGGACCCCTCTCCCCCCACACTTCTCAGGCCTGCGGAAGAGGGGTACGGGCTCCCTGCTCTCCGCGGTTGGCTCCGTTCCATAGCCTGCCGCGTCCTGCGCCTCGCTTCCCTAATTCTACAAAGCCTGGCCTCTTGAGATTCAAAGCCACGATTTCAAAGAGGGCTTCCTGCTGCACACGGAGCACACAGGTGGGGAGGCGCCTTTCTGCCCCCCCACCCCACCCCTGCCCTGCCGCCCCGCTGTTCCTTGAGCTGAGCACACCGGGCATGCTGTCACCTTGGGGTGCTTGTACTTGGTGTTCCCTCGGCCTGCGATGCTCCATCCTCAGGC